TATAAAGTGTCAATCACTGATGCAATAATTGTGTACAATATATCTTTTAGTTTCGGAGTTGATACACAAATTTAGTTGCACAAATATTGAAATGCAGTTTTTAACGAGTTAACCATTGCTAATAAGTATGTCATATTGCCTCTCACAGTTCGTTAATAGTTCCTTGCATGTAAATTACATCGAACATAAAATCGATATTTAGCTTCGTATTCATCTTCACCAGACTTTGTTTTCATTGTGTGATCGGCCATACTTGTCATGCATGGCACCAATTTGGTCTTTACATAGTTAAATGTAATTTTGAAAATTAAACAGGTTTCCATGAATCTGAGGTTGTATAAGTGTGGGGAATGCATTTTAGATATTCAATATTTAATGGATTTACCTGGTAAAAATTACCAGTCAAGTTCAGCAAGAGTTGTCTTTCATTGTCTCATTTCGATTTATTTTCCTGCTGCGAAGAAATTTTGTGACCAGGGTGAGGTTGCACAAAACAACTTACAGCTACGACAATGGTAAGTCTATGTTAAGGTATGGGAGTTACGATTACCTTAGCCCTAAGGTCGGTTTGTACAATGGCACCCTGGGCCCCGTTCAACAGAGGGATCGTAGCAGTAAGATGATCATAACTCCCACACTTTAACATAGACTTAGGACTGTCGTAGCGCTATGATCGCTTTGAGGAGCAGGACCCTGGTTTCAGTTCCAAAAAGTGGTTTAAGCTCTATGACTGTCGTAAGTCTGACTTTTTGAAGAATGGCAGTTAGGACTGAAGTACAGTTAAGATAATTCTGTGGAATGGCATCTTGTCTGTTACGTACTGGTATTTAGGACTCAGACTGGGAGCTGTTCATTAGAGGTTTACTCAGCCATGATGTCTTTTTCCTGGGTTTTAACAATATTTGGATTAACTTACTAAACTGAATGGTTACATAGAAAAGTGGAAATTGACCGAAATTATATTCAGCCATGATTTCTTATTCCTGGGTTTCAACAAAACTTTGATCGGCTAACAATACTGAATGGTTACATAGAAAAGTGGAAATTGACCGAAATTATATTCAGCCATGATTTCTTATTCCTGGGTTTCAACAAAACTTTGATCGGCTAACAATACCGAAATACATCAGTTGCTTTGAAATAAGCTTACGTGGAACATTTGTTTTCATGTCAAAATAATAGTGGCCAATTTAGATAAATTGAAATTTTGCAACATCCTAGAGTCTTTGAGAATTTGTGGTAGTTAGGTTTAATGTCAGGGGATAGAGTTGCTGTGTGTGTCAAATATGGTGTAGATCAAATGTAAATTATGTACATTCTGACTATTGTGTTGGTCTCAGAGACCGACAGGCATCATTCCTATCTCTCCTATTACTGGACCACATCCCAGATCTGTTAGCTCAAATATTTACACTTTATACATATTTGTGTTTTATTTTGCTGTTATAAACATATTCTTTTTTCCAAAACCCTTCTTTTTTTTCGCACGTTATCAGAGATGATGATAATTCTCATGATAAACGTTCATATAATCATGATTTCAATCTTTTTTAAATGCTGACATTTTATATGACCTTTCACCGATTTCTGGATGTACTGTGTTCCTGGGTCCCACCCCTCTTTCCATATAATGGACTGACCCATTATGGAATTGCTTGCTGTTATATTCAAGGGTGGAAGGTAGGGTAAAGGTGAAAAAACAGACCTTTTACCTTCTTTGTAAGAATAGAATCACCCATTTCTGTTATATGGATGATTCCATTTGCGATTTTAGGGATGTTTTGGAGTGAATGTAGATACAGAGAGAACTGTAACATAGTCCTGACTCTCAGCTGTCAAGAATAAAACCTGCTTAAACTGAAACTGTTGAGTTGTTATTGATAGAAAACAGTTCCTTGACCTACATACGGTGGATGTCTCTCACAAACTTTCTTGAAGAGAATCACACTAAAAGATGCAACATGTTTATTTGGGAGTATACTTTTCTCAGTCAACTACAGATTCTAGTACTTTCGTTCGGTTGAGTCCCATCCAGTGGGATTTGAACCCACACTCTGAGCGATCCCCGCCGCGCCATACCCAGATACCGTCCCTGACCTACAAAGTCAGGCATCTAACCCACTCAGCCCCCACAGCTTCAACAAAAATGGAAGTCGGACAACTGGTAGTCTAGACTGCAGACTTTGTGTACCCCTCTGATAGGTGTAAATTGGCACGGCTCCCACAGCCATACCCGCAACATAAACAACCAACGAACAAGGAACTGCAAATGCACATAAGGTTATTGAGTGAAGTATATTTCATGTACAAATATAGAGTATAGTAAAAAATACATTGAGTATAGTGAGTGTCCATATAAAAAAAACATACATGGAATCTAAAAAACATACATGGAATCTGTGCAAGTTAAAACAATGAACACCTTGCCCTCACAGTAAAACTTTGCAGAAACAGTGCAGAAAGTCCCAAGAAGCAAGCACCAGCTGGAAGTATGTATGGTTCAATGTATCACTGGATTGTCTGGTCCAGACATGATTATTTACAGACCGCCGCCACATAGCTGGAATATTGCTGAGTGCCGCCACATAGCTGGAATATTGCTGAGTGCGGCATAAAACTAAATTCACTCACTCATAGGTTTGTACACACTAAGTTCCTCCCCCGACCTAAGAAGATCCGGGTTAGAATTGATGTTGATCACTGGATTGTCTCGTTTCAGACTTGATTATTCTGGTCTTCAGCAACCCATGCTTGTCGTACCCTGTGAAGATCCGGGTTAGAATAGGTCGTCAGCAAACCATGCTTGTCGTAAGAGGCGATGGGATCAGATGGTCAGGCTCGCTGACCTGGTTGACACATCATCGCAAGCCAATAGCGTAGATTGATTCTCATGCTGTTGATCACTGTATTGTCTGTTCCAGACTCGATTACATACCAATATATATATAGGTGGAATATTGCTGAGTGTGGCATTAAAAAATAACATAGAAACAAACAAAAGATTCCTCCAGCTGTCACTACACAGGGCTGGTACGCCGTGGGGTAGTGACATACATCTATAGTCCGTTTGGCCCAAAAGCGGACCGATGAATTGAATCTAACTCGAAAACTAATAAACATATAATACTCAATGAAACCCTGATCATAATCAAAACATCAGACCAACTCGGTGAGTTTTTTGCGGAATTTATGTCCTAATAATAAAAAAAGTTGTTTAACAAACTATCATTAAAATATTGACACAGTTCACTATTTGTTACGAGGAAGGAGTGCAGAGAAAGGGACAGCCAGGTGTTAGAGAAGCAGAGGCACAAGTGCCGACAAAGTCATTGATTCATTTACCTGTGCTGTGCCGGCTCCATCCTTTCTCGCACACCTGGCTGTTCTTCTCTTTGCACTCCTCCCTCGTAACAAATAGTGAACTGTGTCAATATTTTAATGATTGTTTGTTAAACAACTTTTTTATTATTAGGACATAAATTCTGCAAAAAAAATCACAGAGTTGGTCTGATGTTTTGATTATGATCAGCGTTTCATTGAGTATTATATGTTTATTAGTTTTCGAGTTAGATTGCAATTCATCGGTCCGCTTTTGGGCCAAACGGACTATAGTATAATGTGCGTTAACAGTCTTAACCTTAAATACACTGAATGCACCCAATCATCTTGAGGTGAAATCATTAAATCATTAAATCAACTACAACAGAAGGATGAAAGGCCTTAAAAAATTGGAATGTAAAAAAATAAAATTGATTCCTCTCCATTTATCTTACAACCCCAGGATATCCCTGTAAATTATTAATTTTACACAAAGGGCAAGTAACTCCCCAATCCCACCACAAAAGCATGACTGTAGACAAACATCTTGTCTCTGAAATGAACATATTTTACAGTAAAATCGGTTCCTAAAATATCTTTACAAAATACAACAAAAAGGATCCGAGAGTTTCTTCATTTTCAGAAAATAAAAAGTCTGGTAATCTGGACTTTCTAGACTTGGATGGGCTGCATTGGCAGAGATACCATAATGAAAAAAAGCCTGGGCTTACACATGATTGTTGCTAAAAAGGTTGGGCAAGCCCCCAATACTATCTACCGGTAAACATAAAGCTTTGCAACCTATCTGGCTTACACGAACAAATTGCCTGATTGGGTATATTTTTAAAGGTCTGTACGACAGACTAGTGTAACAGTAACATGTTGTGTAGTGTGCTTTCTTATGAGTATTTAAGATAAAAATACCACTACTAACATTCTCAACAAAACAAAAGAATCGGATAAATAAGCCCCAAACAGTAACATGAGCCCCAAGGGACATAACTCTTCAACAACCAGTTGCAGCAACCTCTGAACTTGACTGAAATGTATACATAACAATAATCAATGAAACACTGATGTATAGAAGATAATAAATAAAATCCAGATTGTCTTTCCTCCGTTTAAAGGCAGTTCCTCCTTGACCCTGCAGTGATAAGATTACACAATGCCATTTACAAAGTGGTCAAATCTAACATATGCCATATTTAGGATTACACTTTCTTAGTAAGGCCAGACCATATTTATTTCTTGTTTTACGGATCTGCCTGTTGTATTTTTTCAAGAATAAAAAAATAAATAAAACTTAATTTTCCCCACTCAAAAAATAAAAACCTAATGTTTTTATTGGCCAAAAGTAAACTTGCAAGAAAAATGTTTATTAGATTGTATTTTGCCCCATATACACTTTATAAATTGCCAAAAGTAAAATAGTTTGAGTATTTATGAAGGAATTGACTGGTGATTTTATTTTTATTTTTTTCCCCTCCTGCCTTTAGGTTTTCTGAGGACAAAAATCCGTTAAAAAAAGACCAAAAATTGGTCTGGCCTAAAGCACAGATTGTTGTACTTTTGTTTGATTAAGTCCCATCCGGGATTCGAACCCAGATGTGGAAGTCATGGTGGCTGAGCGGGTTAGGCGGCTGACTTTGTGTGCTGGCGATTAGGTGCCTGACTCTGAGGGTGTGGGTTCGAATCCCGAATGGGACTCCACTTAACAAAAGTACAAGAATCTGTACTATACTGAGAAAGTGTAATCCCAAATATAGCATATGTCACCCTGCAGTGATAGGTTAGGATAGGTCCCCAGGACCTCGTAAGAGGCGACTTGGATCTGGTGGTCAGACTGGCTGACTTGGTCCATAGGGTGATATCAATCACTGAATTGTCTGGTCCATATACTGCTGGAACCGTGCTGAGTGCAGAGTTTCACATCAAACAAGCCCTTCCATTGTTGCTCCCAGAATAGAGTTGGTCCCCAGTGCTGGTTGTTCGTTGTAATTTCAGTGGAATGAGCAGTTCTGGTATTCGCCTGTCATCGTCATGACGATTTGGATTGTTGCTCGCACTGTCAGCCACTAGTTTGGTTGGTCCATTGTTTCCAGGTCAACGTGACACAGTTTGAGTGTTAATGACTGTAGTGTAAATAACACTCACTCACTAAAATAGAAGCCACTCGCTCAATCCCGGAATCCACTGGTCATGTGACCCACATACAGGATTCAGTCACAGGATGTTTGTGATTGGCTGAAGTTTGTCCAGCTCTGGAACAACTAGCAGCCTGACCGAGTTTGTGAAACCACTTCCTGGACTCATCCCGGTTACCAGGGCAATCATATCACCTGTTTTGATTATACCATGGTCGGCAGATATGAGAATACCGTGATGAATCCTACGATCGATGTCTTCGGCCCAACTTTCAACTTCGTCTTCTGAAAGCAGATGTTAGGAAACGTGTTAGCTAATTTATATTGCTGGAATATTGCTATAAGCTCACTCACATCACGCCCTGATATCTCTAAACAAACTTAAGTCTGAGTTTTGAGAAAACGCAGGAAAATGCATTTCCCAGAATGAAATGAAATCGATATTAAACTCAAACTTAGTAGACAATTTGATTTTGGTGGATAGATTACTTAAGTTGTTTGGCTTTTATATTTTAAAAATGCAGCTGAGTTAAAATTCAGCTGTTTCAAATTGTCAAACTCAGTTTGAAATTTGAGAAAACACTTAAGCTTGTTTCGAGAAATCAGGGCCAGGCCATGTGGGGCTACAAGACTACAAGGGCTACAAGACTACAAGGGCTACAAGACGTGTTCACTCTTACCTTCATACAGGACAGGTAACATGCCCCAGTGTAGGTTCAGACTTCGAGCTACTTGAGGCGCCCGTGTGATGGCTACTATATGACATGGAGGACGGTAGTGGGCTATCAGGCTGGCTGATCTGAAGCACAAGTGAGAGAACGTGTGTATTTACGCTGCACTATGTTCCATCCATGTTCTGACACTTTAAACATTTAGGTCTGGATAATAGTGGTCGATATCATGATCAACAATCAGTACTGTCGGGGTCGACAGACCTTTTCTGCCAGTAGCAATGAACAGGGCCCCGTTCCTCAAAGCGATTATAACACTACAATAGTTGTAAATCACTACAATCCAATTGTAACTTTAACTTACAATCACTCCACCGGTCCTCAAAGCAATTGTTAGCTACAATAGTTGTAAGTTACAATCACTTCCGTGAGTTGCTTATGACCGTCTGTAACTTACTTACGATCGATTGTTGTGTATGATCAAGATGGCGGCGTTTGTTGTAATTCATAAACACAGGAGACAGAAATTTGGCCTTGAGAGTATATTTCGAGACCGTAGCCGTGTTCTTGATGTTTACAATGACGCTGAAATATTTTCATGGTACAGAATGACGAGGGCCCCATTCTGAAACTGGTAAGCATGCTAGAACCAGGGTTTTTCTCGGACACCCAGCGTTTACATGCACTATCAGTAGAAAGCAAGGGTTTAATTACTTTGCGATATCTTGCTAAGGGTGGATTATTTTTCGTCTGCTTGGAAGGGGAAGCAACTCTCACCAACCGGAAGTAATGTGAACGCACTATTTCTAACTTTTGCGCAGAAGATCACGACTGTAATTTACGATCGAAAGATTTACAATCGCAATACTTACAATTCCCTTACAATAGCTTTGAGGAACGACAATAAATTGTTATTTACGATAATTGTAAAGTTGATCGTAGGGCTTACAACTGATTGTAGCTACGATAGCTTTGAGGAATGGGGCCCTGATGGACACACAGATTGAAGCCAAATGGAATAATGGTTTTATAGGGAGGTGTAATGATCTGTCTAAGTAAACTTAGGCTCAGTATTATTCGTTCCACTGCTTATACTGAGTCTAACAAACCCTAATAGAAGGTCGCATTAGCTAACCTTTTCAATTTACCAATTAGAACACGGCTTACCAAATCGCGAAAGTTGACATTTGCACATACCTTTTGAACTTTTACCTAAAAAAAGTTTGTACCCGAACGATTCCGACTGATATTTTCTGTATGATCGCAGATTTTCGTTTGTTGAGGGATCAGTGTCAGTGACCGGGAATTTTGTAAGTCCTGCCGAACCCTAAACAGTAGCCGTTGTCTGATTGGTTAAATCCGTTCGTCCGTCTTGCATTGATTGGCCAGTCATAGGTCGCTCAATGGGTAGCTGACGCGACCTTAGACTAGGGTTTGTTAGACTCAGTATAGTTCGTCCGTCTTGCATGTGATTGGACAGTCATAGGTCGCTCAATGGGTAGCTGACGCGACCTTAGACTAGGGTTTGTTAGACTCAGTATAGCACTTAGACTGGTGGACAGGTGAAATGATTCTCAGATGGAATACAAAGTCATACATACCGCCCAGAGCTGGTGAGAATCAAAATGGCTGCTGCTCCCGACCTGATGGCGGTCTCAACGGCTGTCCTGGCAACAGTGTGGGTGTAATCCTGCTGCAGGGTTGTCACCTGACGCAGGGTGCGGAACAATGTTTCCGTGGCAACAGCTGCTTCTGACTCCTGACATACCTGTAGACGATTACTTAGCTAATATATTTCACTCTTTCTTGGACAAATACAAATTCTAGTACTTTAGTTCTCTAGTACTCGAGTCCCATCAGTGATTCAAAACCATACCCTCAGAGCGAGGCACCTAATTGGCAGCGACCAAAATCAACAATGTAAGTCTATCATCCACCAAGTCTGTTAACTGGTAGTCAAAATCATTTGTGTACAATAGGCGGATCCAGAGGGGGTGCAGGTGTGCTAATCCCCTTTTTGTCCTGAAAGTTTATTAAATGACCATTGAGTCTCGGGAGAAAATGAAGTGTGCACCCTCCCTTTTCTCAATAGTGTGCACCCCCCCTTTCTCAAAAAGCTGTATCCGCCCCTGCCCCTGTGACAAGTGTAAATTGACACAGCTCCCATGGCTGAAAGTGATGAATATCAACTGCATTTTAGAAAGTGGTCAAATGTAACATTCGTTACACTGAGGGATATACTTTCTTGAAAACAAAATTTCTAGTACTTTCTTGGGCTTCTATTGAAGTACTTTTTAGGATGGGTGAGAAGCTTAGGTTTCCCACGTATCCAAGGGACACAACTCTGCACTGCAAAATATTGAATTCTTGAGGATTACACTTGTTTCCAGCCTAAGTCAAAGTTGTTCTCAAAGAAACTCAAAAAAGAAATATATATCCCAAACGATCAAAAGTAACCAGTTCACCACGAGACCTATCTATGTGCTAGCTTTGGTGAAAAAATATGGTACTGTTTTCAAGGCCTGCTCAAGAGTGAGTGAGTGAGTGAATAGGGTTTTATGCCGCTATTAGCAATATTCCAGCAACATCATGGCGGTGGACACCAGAAATGGGCTTCACACATTGTACCCATGTGGGGAATCGAACCCGGGTCTTCGGCGTGACGAGCGAATGCTTTAACCACTTGGCTCAGCAATACTCCATATTGACAGCGGTATGTAAAGTCTGGACCAGACAATCCAGTGATTGACATGACGAGCATCAATCTACGCAACTGGGATAGTCAGCGATCTCATTTCAAATAATAAAACGTATCTAGAAACAGAGAAAAGAAAATCCCAATATTTCATCCATATCTCCACAGCAGAACAGAATCAGCATCAAACACAAAATACTGGGACCCAATTCATCCAGAGTAACTTCCTACCTGGCTTTAATATAATGTTCTAACAACAACTGACCATTGAAGATCCAGGTCAGAATTGATCTTCAGCAACCCATGCTTGTCGTAAAAGGCAACTAACGGGATCGGGTGGTCAGATTCGCTGACTTGGTTGACTCATGTCATCGGTTCCCAATTGCGTAGAACGATTCTCATGATCTTGATCACTTTATTTTCAGGTCCAGACTCGATTATGTACAGACCGCCGCCATATAGCTGGAATATTACTGAGTGCGGCGTAAAATACAACCTTACCTGTATTGGGGAATACAACCTTACTAGGGGAATACAACCTTACTCGGGACTGATAAAACCCCATATTTTCCTCGACACGATGTGATAACTTATAATGCGCTTCCCGGGCCTTCCAAATCGCCTGATCTGAACCCGATCGAGCATCTTACATTTACGAATATTAACAGACAGCGCCATACAGCTGTAATATTGCTGAGTGTGGCGTTAAACAAGAAACAAATCTTACAGCAACCAGCGTTTCCACAGCTTTGATTGGATGCTTCCCGATGGCTGTCTCCCCAGACAGCATCACGCAGTCTACTCCATCAAGGATGGCGTTAGCAACGTCTCCTGCTTCAGCGCGGGTTGGTCGAGGATTACGCACCATGCTCTGTAACATCTGGGACAAAGGAGAGGTAAGAAAATACACAATGCTTTCCCGAGATTGACATTGTCCTTAATTTGCGTGACACAGTAAATACTGAAATGGCACGATTGAAATATATGTACCCTGGCGGCACGACTAAACTTATAAAAATAATACAAAATGGAAAATGAGATCAATTTGGATTAACAGAAATGATTCAAAACCTATCTATTAGGGATGTCACGATACATAAGTTTCATACATACCACAGTACCCCATTCTCTTCCCACAGAGGTTACTTGTCATATCTTCCTACGAACCTCTGTTCTAATACGGCCATATTTCCCGGTTCTCGTAAAATCCCCTAGCGGCAAAAGATCGCAACACGAATTATCTCCCTTCTTTCTATCCAATCAGAACACGTGTTACATCGACTTAGATTCAACTTGACTAACACAAGCAAATGTGGGGCCACAAATATCCCCCATCTGCCGGGGACTTGTGTTGATGTTACACACAAGACGTTTAATGGCTAGCTTGTCTGTTGTTAACAAGGGCGATGGAGACGCAACTGATCCGCCATAACATGACTGAGTTCTGTATAGAAGAAACTTTTGCGCATCGCGCAGTGGAAGAAGTTTAGTTTTCTCGAAGCATACGGAAATTATCGAGGCCTTGCGAATGATCACTTTTGAAACGACGTCGCTGATAGCACAACTAAATCTGATTGCCTCCAATCACGAGTCTTGAACGCTCACACCATGAAAGGGCCGTATTAGAACAGAGGTTACGTAGGAAGATATGACAGGAGTAACCTCTGTGGGAAGAGAATGACAGTACCCATGTTACGATTCGATACGTATCACGATACCCATGTCACGATTTGATACGTATCACGATACCCATGTCACGATTCGATACGTATCACAATACCCATTTTCACGTAATTATTGCGTAGATTTAGTTACATTTTGAACATTAACATTTCATTTTTTATAATTGTCCATGAAAAGATCAACATTTTTTATTCTCAGAGATTAAAAAGGTCCAATTTCCCATCTTTGTGCATGAAAAATAATCATTTGTAACTCTCATAACATCAAAAAACATGATACAATTGCAAAATGTTAACGATCCATAAACACATTTAAACTAATACTTTCAAAACTAAATATCGATACAGTTTTGAAAGTATTGATAATTGTATCGTCTTTGAAAAAGTATTGATGCATTGATGTATCAATGTATCGTGGCATCCCTTCTATCTTTACAGGGGCGGTGGGGTAGCCTAGTGGTTAAAGCGTTGGCTCGTCACGCCGAAGGCCCGGGTTCGATTCCCCACATGGGCACAATGTGTTAAGCCCATTTCTGGTGTCCCCCGCCGTGATATTGCTGGAATATTACTAAAAGCGGCTTAAAACTAAACTCAGTCAGTCAGTCAGTCAGTCTATCTTTACACCCCATCAAACTGTTTATCTTACAGATTAACATGGGTGTGGCATAACATAGAATTCTGTTTATAATGGTAACATAGTTAATGGGTCCTAGACAAATGAAGCTGAACTGTTCTTGCAGTCTTCATAGTGTTTAGGAAATCCAGCTCTCAAGTTTACAGGTTTACATGTTATTTACTGATTTATTGAACAATAAATTGAAATGACGTGATGTTTTGTTGCCATGACAGACTGAGCGATGTTTTAAGTTTAATTGGATCATCTGCATGGGGACACCAGAAATGGGCTTCACACATTGTACCCATGTGGGGAAAAGTATGGGCATGCCTAGTTTCACAAAGGCACACGTAAATTACCTGTCTGGTGCTCTCTACTGGCAACCTTCGACAAAATGGTATTGTATTTCTATCCCTGCTTTTAGAAAGTGGTCAATGTAAGAAATGCTGTGTTTGAGACTAAACTTTCTCAGTACAGATTCTGGTATTTTGGGGTATGAGCAGAGATGACAACCATAATTTACCCCAATTAGCATTTTGGCCAAAAACTGATTAAAAAATTAGTATTTGTTGGTAAAAATTAGCATTAACTTTTCCAAAGAATTTTCAAATTAAATAAAAAAATCAAATATATAGTCTAAGACGTTATTAACGTTATACTCAACTAAATCAGTAGTAAGTAACCACATATAGCGTGATACTGAACAAAATGTGATCGAAATTTATTGTGTATGGTATGTATGCTATTTAATAATTTAATTTAATGTATTGTTTTTTTAAATCGTATATTTTTACTATCGCAGTCAAATATTTTGTGTTGTTTTTTCGTAACAAATACGATAAAATCGTATGGGTTGGCATCTCTGTATGAGTCCCCTCCACAATTCAAACCCCCACCCTGAGACGGGCACCTAATCACCAGCACACAGTCACCAATCTAACCCACTCAGTCATCGGTGCTTCCACTAATATGTGAGTGAGTGAGTGAGCGTACTTTTACGCCACACTCAGCAATATTCCAACTATATGGCCGTGGTCTGTATATAATCAATTCTGGAGCAGACAATCCAGTGATCAACTGTGACCTTCACGGGTCCACAAGAACGTAATCTGACAACTGGTAGTTTAGACCACATACTTTGCGCACCCCTCTGACAAGTGTAACATGGCTCCCACGGTCGAAAGCTACGAAACACTACCATTTAGAAAGTGGTGAAATCTTAGATTTCTCAGCAAAACATATGTTGTGGTACTACTGGCAAACAAGTCGGACCGGCACAGAGAACGCGTATACGAGAAGTAGGCGGTGCACGGCAATGAGCAAACCCATTTGGTTTGTGAAAGGTAGAGCAGATGTAGGCTAGTGCATGTGTATTGCATGACGATGAAATTGATTCCAGTAGCTGGACGTGCCTTGCTCAAAAGACTCTCACGTGGTTGGTGTAGCAAGTCGGTAATATTCGGACATATAGATATATATTTTGAGAGAATTAAATTAAACATGCCAAAGTTAGGTTAGCACTGTCATATAATCCATTCTCAGACCCGAGAAGTGGCATACAATGTAAAGTAAAATGCAAACAAATGCACCTGCTGAGACAGGCCACGTGGTTCACCCATCCGACTACACTTGATCGCCTACAACCTGGGGCCCTTCGCTAACAATGGGAAGCACTAGTGGGGGGCACTCATACATGCTAATACACGGGTCAATTGTCAGGTCAGTGCTCAACTTATCCTTGTTTGCCAGTAATTTGGCTAGAGTCCAGTGCAAGATTCAAACCCACAATCTCCGAGTGAGGCACCAAATTGCTAGCAGACAAAGTTGTGCCAGTTACAGTGGCAGTTGCGGAAATTCATTCTCGTGTCGAAGCATTTAGCCCTAACTGTGTGCCAAATTTACATTTAGTACATACATTTTGATTGGTTGTTCATTTCAAGCTCACATGCTCAAGATATTCTCAACTAAGTCAGAGAAGGCCCATACAGCATTCCAGGTTAGAGTAGGGCCAAACAAACTCTTGTCGTAAGATGCAAGCAAGTGCTTGTACCCCAACAGTGTTCATTGTTGCTCACAATGTCGACCACTGGGCTGTCTGGGCCAGACGAGATTATAGACCGCTGACATATTGTACGACTATTACTGAACGCAGTGCTGAACAAACAAACAAACAAGAAAACTCTGCATGTGAGTGAGTGAGTGAATGAGTGATTTTTTACGCCGCTTTTAGCAATATTCTAGCAATATCACAGTGGGGGACACCAGAAATGGGCTACACACATTGTACCCATGTGGGGAATCAAAGTCGGGTCTTTGACGTTACGAGCCAACGCTTTAACCTCGAGGCTACCCCACTGCCCCCTGAAGGAAAGAGATGGCGGCAATGGGTCGAGGGCATAAATAACATGATACACATAATACCCTTGATGATCAAGAATGGATCATAGACTAAAAACATGCAGTTTCCATTGACTGCCATGTTTTGAATCCAGATTCAAATTGATGACCCCAACATATCCATTACCTGTGATGCACAGATGACTGGTTTCCCCGCTCGACGAGCCCGACCAATCATAAGCTTCTGTGCAAGGAACACTTTCTCTGGCGGTAGATCTACACCGAGGTTGCCCCTAGCAACAATGGTCCCATCAGAAACTTTCAAGATCTCGTCATACCTATAGGAGACATGGAAATGTAAATGAGATTATGTTTTTGTCAAATAAAGCTATTTTATTTTTATGTATTGATATTTTGACTTACATCACTTGGGTGAGGTGAGGTGAAATTGGGTTTAACTTCGCGCTGGAGAATGTTTCGCTCATATGACGACGTGCATGCGTGTGAATGTGTAGGTGCGACTGCTTGTACTAGCCCAGACTGAAGCTGGTTTTATAGTGCTAGCCCACTGAGATACCAAGCCGCAGTGAAGCATGAATACCCCACTCAGACACATTATACTGACTCTGAGCCGACCAGTTGTACCCATTAATGCCGAGCACCAGGCAGGGACCAACAAGTACCATATTTTAACGTCTTTTGGTATGACGCGGTCGGGGATCGAACCCGTGACCTTCCGCTCTCCGGGCGGACTCTCTAACCACTACACCACCGAGGCGGTCTACATCACTTGGGGCTAGGGGTGTAGTCTAATGGTTTCACCATTTCCTCATCACGTCAAAGATTCGGTTAGATTCCCATATATGGGCACAAAGAGTAAAAAACTGTCCATATCTTGTGTCCATGCTGTTATATTGCCAGAATATTGCTAAAAGCAGCAACACTCACTCACTCACCCACTTACTTGGTACATGGAGATTTGGCATATGGAGATGGTACATTAAAGTTGAGTAAAAGCTGGATGAAGCTATGATGGACACTGACTGACTGACTTAGTTTGGTTTTTACGCCGCTTTTAGCAATATTCCAGCAATATCACGGCGGGGGACACCAGAAATGGCTTCACTCATTGTACCCATGTCGGGATTCGAACCCGGGTCTTCGGCGTGACGAGCCAACGCTTTAACCACTAGGCTACCCCACCGCCCCTGATGGACTCTGATGAAAGGGTTGGTTGTTATATATTTTTCAACATTTCCCCCTCCAAAGTCCAAACATTTGCCAACAAGGCTGGATCATCTTAATCCCACTTGTGTAATGCATTGCAACCATGGTCACAACAGACTTGGTAACAGGTTCATTGTGGACAAAAACATGTGGACAACGAATAATGTAAATACAGTTGTGATATTTTCTCTGCCTTTACTTACCGCTTCACGCCCTCATAGTTTTCAATTTTGGCAATGACCTTGACCTCGTCAGCCTTGATTCCCAGTTCTCTTCTCACCAGCTGTACAATCCTTGAGCTCCACACCCAAGACACAAAGATCATATCTATCTGAGGTATAAAGGTTTATACCATGTCAACTGAAGATCAACACCCACGACCGAAGATCATATCTATCTGAGGTATAAAGATTTATACCATGTCAACTGAAGATCCACACCCATGATATGAAGATCATATCTATCTGAGGTATAAAGATTTATACCATGTCAACTGAAGATCCACACCCATGATACGAAGATCATATCTATCTGAGGTATAAAGGTTTATACCATGTCAACTGAAGATCCACACCCATGATACGAAGATCATATCTATCTGAGGTATAAAGATTTATACCATGTCAACTGAAGATCCACACCCACGACACGAAGATCATATCTATCTGAGGTATAAAGATTTATACCATGTCAACTGAAGATCCACACCCACGATTTAAGATCATATCTATCTGAGGTATAAAGATTTATACCATGTTAACTGAAGATCCACACCCACGATATGAAGATCATATCTATCTGAGGTATAAAGGTTTATACCATGTCAACTGAACATCCACACCCACGACACGAAGATCATATCTATCTGAGGTATATAGGTTTATACCATGTCAACTGAAGATCCACACTCATGATACGAAGATCATATCTATCTGAGGTATAAAGATTTATACCATGTCAACTGAAGATCAACACCCACGACACGAAGATCATATCTATCTGAGGTATAAAGATTTATACCATGTCAACTGAAGATCCACACCCACGACACGAAGATCATATCTATCTGAGGTATAAAGATTTATACCATGTTAACTGAAGATCCACACCCACGATATGAAGATCATATCTATCTGAGGTATAAAGGTTTATACCATGTCAACTGAACATCCACACCCACGACACGAAGATCATATCTATCTGAGGTATATAGGTTTATACCATGTCAACTGAAGATCCACACTCATGATACGAAGATCATATCTATCTGAGGTATAAAGATTTATACCATGTCAACTGAAGATCCACACCCATGATACGAAGATCATATCTATCTGAGGTATAAAGATTTATACCATGTCAACTGAAGATCAACACCGACACAAAGATCATATCTGAGGTATAAAGATTTATACCATGTTAACTGAAGATCCATACCCATGATATGAAGATCATATCTATCTGAGGTATAAAGATTTATACCATGTCAACTGAAGATCAACACCCATGATACGAAGATCATATCTATCTGAGGTATAAAGGTTTATACCATGTTAACTGAAGATCCACACCAATGATAGAAAGATCATATCTATCTTTGGTATATAGGTTTATAACATGTCAACTGAAGATCCACACCCATGATAAGAAGATCATATCTATCTGAGGTATAAAGGTTTATACCATGTCAACTGAAGATCAACACCCACGATACGAAGATCATATCTATCGAAGGTATAAAGGTTTATACCATGTCATCTGAAGATCAACATCCATGATACAAAGATCATATCTATCTGAGGTATATAGGTTTATAACAGGTCAACTGAAGATCCACACCCATGATAGGAAGATCATATCTATCTGACGTATATAGGTTTATAACAGGTCAACTGAAGATCAACACCCATGATAGGAAGATCATATCTATCTGTTGTACATAGGTTTCTAACATGTCAACTGAAGATCAACACCCATGATAGGAAGATCATATCTATCTGAGGTATAAAGGTTTCATAACAAGTCAGCTAGCGTTCCACACCCACAATAAAAACATCATATCTATCTGGAGTATATAGGTTTTATAACATGTCAACTGAAGATCTACACCCATAATAAGATCATATCTATCTGAGGTATAAAGGTTTCATAACAAGTCAGCTAGCGTTCCACACCCACGATAAAAACATATCTATCTGGAGTATATAGGTATTATAACATGTTAACTGAAGTGCGGTCTGCCGCATGAAAATATGTGCTTTGAGAGAATTAAGAGAATGATCAAAATTTGAATATAGGGAAAAAGGAACATCTGTGTTGACAACCAAAGCAAACTAAACATACCAAATCCCATTACAGTTGGAACAAAAATAGCAGAGTAATGGCGATGAATTGATTTTCAATATGGCTGCTGTCAGATTTGGACCTCCACAGGATCCACAATTTGTAAGGAAAAGCCTGTGAATTTGCAGATTTATTCATAAAATGGTTTCTGATGAGACGAACACACAGAGGGATGCTGCTCTCATCAACGCCAACAACCACCACCATGGCGAAAAAGGGTGATGGACAAAGGAATGGCATCGCATAAAGCTCAGACTTTCTCTCCATACAAATGAGTGAGTGAGTTTTGTTTTACGCCACACTCAGCAATATTCGTTACACTGCTATACTGAGTCTAACAAAACCTAGTAGAAGGTCGCGTCAGCTAACCTTTGAGCGACCTATGACCGTCCAAGCGAGACAGCCGAACGGATTTAACCAATCAGACAACGACTACTTGTTAGGGTTCGGCGGGACTTACAAAACTGTTTTTGGATTTTCTCTTCCCTGGTCGCTGGAACTGATCTATCAACAAACGAAAATCCGCATAAAACACAGATATTTTACCTGCAGTATATACCCTTATGGGTTTCTAATGACATGGTTACCATTTGCATATATTTCTCAAGATGACATTCTTGAATATTGACAAAAACGCTATTTTCAGCGACTGTTTACTCATTGCGTGTATCCCTCGGAAGCGATCGTACAGCAAATGGCATTTGGAATCGTTCGAGTTTTGAGATAAAGGTTCAAACGGTATGAGCAAATGTTAACTTTTGCGATTTGTTAAGCTGTGTTGTGATTGGTCAGTTTAAAAGGTTACATGACGCGACCTTCCACAAGGTTTTGTTAGACTCAGTTTAGCAGTGTAATGAATAATACTGAGCCTAAGTTTACTGAGACTGGTCAGCGAGCCTGACCACCCGATCCCGTTAGTCGCCTCTTACGACAAGCATGGGTTACTGAAGATCAATATTCTAACCCGGATCTTCACGAGTCGATACAAATGAAGTATTTTATGAATCTTAATGCCTGCTATAGCTACACTGGAGAATCTTGTCAGTCTGATCATTGATTGATTGTTGTTGAACGCCGCTACGCAGCAATTTTCCAGCTATATGGCAGCGGTCTGTAAATAATCAAGTCTGGACCAGACAATCCAGTGATCAACAGCATGAGCATTGATCGAATATGATACGATGACATGTGCCATTATCCAGCCTCATGTCAGAATGTCGAGTTTTGATTGGTTCATGTGACTCTGATAAAATACCATGTACACCCGTCACGATCTGCGAGCAGGGAGTACAAAAGTCATATTATCCCGCCACGCCTCGGTGACCACGCGAAGTGAGAAAGCGTGCATCGCCAAGCCTTTAGTAACGTGCGCATTGAGGTCAATCGATCAGCTGGTGTCAACATGGCAGCAAGGAAACGTTTTGCCACAACAACTGAGAATGAAATTGAAGCAAAACATTCGGCTAGATAAATGCGTTATCACATCGTGTCGAGGGAAATACGGGGTTTTATCAGTCCCTCGTGAGGTTGTATTCCTTACTTGGGACTGATAAAACCCCGTATTTCCCTCGACACGATGTGATAACTTATAATGTCAGTCTTATTAATAATTCCTAATTTATAAAAACAATATTGACAAAGGTTCTCACCTCATTTCTCAGTGCAAATACAATGTCATCCACATCTTTGTCTGCCAACGTTTGTTTCCCAGACAACATCCCTGGCAAGTGGCACTCGTCGTAGTCCTGCAGCACCCCCTCTGTCTCCACAGTACAGTCCAGGTACCCGGGGCCTGGGGGATGAAGAGGGATGAAGATGTCACAAGGATTACTTCAACGCATTGTTAATACTTCATTGTGATTTGTGCGTAAGAGGCGACTAAGGGGATTGGGTGGTCAGGCTCGCTGGCTTGGTTGACACATGTCATCCATTCCAAGTTGCGCAGATCGATGCTCATGCTGTTGATCACTGGATTGTCTGGTCCAGACTCAATTATTTACAGGCCGCTGTAATATAGCTGGAATATTGCTGAGTGCGGACTCACTCTATGACTTGTGTGCACTATATTCCCCAATGAGGTGGCATAGGGGTAGCCTAGTGGTTAAAGAGTTCACTTGTCAAGCCGAAGACCCAAGTTTCGATTCCCTACTTGCGTACAATGTGTGAAGCCCATTTCTGGCGTCCTCCGTCATGATATTGCTGGAATATTGCTAAAAGTAGCGTAAAACTTAACTCACTCACTCACTCCTCCACTGTGCCTATGTGCTTTCCTTCTCACTGGAATTTGATTGAGTCTTGATTCATTAAAGTAGCAAGCATAGAAAGACCATCATGGAAATCAAACAGAGGCACTTTAAAAGAATTCTCTGCCACACAGAGGTCTAACAGAAACTCCCATTTAGGGAACCACTAAAGGTACCCTGATCAGAGCCCAACTGGATAAAGCCTACCGCAGGAAGCCTAGCAGAGAAGGTCTACCGCAGAAGATCTCAAAAAGAAGGTTTTCCAGTGAAGGCCTACCACGGGAGGTTTACCAGAAAAGGTTTACCAGAGAAAGCCAACCAGAGAAAGATTGCCATAGAAAGCCTACCAGAGAACACCTACTAGAGAAAGCCTACCAGAGAAACCCTACCATAAAAAAGACTAGCATACGAAACCTACCAGAGAAGGCCTACCATAAAAGACTAGCATAGAAAGTCTACCAGAGAAAACCTTCAAGAGAGAAACCTACTAGAGAAAACCTACCAGAGAAAGCCTACCAGAGAAAGCCTACCAAAGAAAACCTACCAGAGAAGGCCTACCATAGAAAGCCGACCAAAGAAAGCTTACTAGAGAAAACCTACCAGAGAAAGCCTACCAGAGAACACCTACCAAAATGGTTTACTTAAAGAAAACCTTCCAGAGAAGGCCTACAATAAAAGCCAACCAGAGAGGATTTACCTGACAAAGCACACCAGATGTGAAATTAATAGGCATCCAGTTGAAAGAATACCCAACATCCTCCACGAAGATTTGATCTATTTTCAATGAACCTACCTTTGTGTTTCACTGTGATACTGAGTGGGCCGTCTTCAAGGAAGATGGTGTCTCCAACAACAGCTCTTCTGATCAACTCGTCCCTGTCGACGTAGATGTGCTCTGCATCACATGAATCCCTATAGGTGGCGTCCCCAGTCAGTCTCACCTCGTCTCCTCCCTTCAGAACCATCGAGCCTCCAAGTTCCTGATTGTAGCAACAAATTATGTTATATATGCCACAGTTGTTGGTGGTTGTTGTTTAAAGCCGCACTCAGCAATATTCCAGCTACAGTGAGACCCTGCATATCCGGACACATTCGTTTTTGCGTAAATCGTCCGGATAACTGAATATCCGGATATCTGGATTTCTGTCATCGAGGCTTTGGTGTTGAAATGGTAGCGAGCATACACTTCTGGTTTAGAATCACTTCCAAAACAGCATGGTCGTTTTGATTTGCCAATTACAATTCATTCAGTGTCAGATAGGCCTACTAATCACCACCAATACCCTGCTGATCAGTCATTAATTCGGATTAGCAGACCTTCTCTTGTGTCAAGATGTGGGACACTCACGCTTCTATTCATACGGTCAGCGTAAGATCAAAGCTTCGGTGGATAAGTGAGTCAATTTTGTGTTGATTTAAATGGTTGGTTTGTTAAAAGTTCCGGCCCAGGAACGGAAACCGCATATCGTGAAGAGATGATAATTGAATTTTATGATAATTGACCAGAAATCGAGGTTTCCGAATATCTGGGGTCCGGGTATCCGGGTCTCACTGTATATGGCTATGGCGGTCTGTAAAGAATCAAGTCTGGACCAGACAATCCAGTGCATGAGCATCGATCTTCGCGAATTGGGATCACGATGACATGTGTCAACCGAAGTCAGCGAAGTCTGACCACCCAATCAGGGTGTAAATTAATGTAGGTGAGGTGAGGTGAAATTGGGTTTAACATCGCGTGCTTGAGAATATTTCGGCTCATATGACGGCATGCGTGTGTATGTGTATGTGCGGCTGCTTGTACTAGCCCAGACTGAAGTTGGTTTTATAGTGCTAGCCCACTGAGATACCATGCCGCAGTGAAGCAGGAATACCCCACTCAGACACATTATACTGACTCCAAGCCGGCGCTCTAACCACAACACCACGGAGGCAGTGTAAATTAATGTAAATCTTGAAAGAATAAACATATCATAATAAATATTATATAAATACCTGTCTTGACAATCCAACCAAAAGTTTTAAAGTTATTGGTTGAACAAACTTTTTAAGTCAAATATGTATATTGCAGTACTTATTAAACAATATCACAATCATAATTTTAGCCAATTTCAACAACCCATTTCCCAATCGTGACTGAGGGTGGTTGTACACCACTTTGAGCAGTACTAATGTTCTATTACAGCAAGTCAGTTCATTTTGGGAGTGGGCCCAGGAGAGCTTAAATTGATGCTTCCAGCCAAGGATGGCTCACTATGGTACCACTGGCTCACACATGGACATCTTAATGCAAACAGTTCAACAACAGCAGCAACAACAGCAGCAACTCCATCAGCGATGATGTTACTGGGCAGGAGATGCCTCCAGGCCATATAGGTTCCACTACACTAAATGAGAATCGCTTGCTCACTGAGCCGGACCGTATGTAAACAAGTGAAGAGAGACAGAGACATGTGCCAGCTGTGATTGGATGAAATAGTGTGAGATGTTTATGCTTTTTAAAACTGACCACAATTTTAAGAATTTAGTGCTGTCTTTTGTTTCACCATCACTCATGCTTATTGTGTGTACAAATATTTTCCAGTAGGTGACATTTGGTGCGGAACTGAGGTTGATGTGTTCCGCTTCCTGTGCTGGGAAAATGAGACAGACAAATTGGCCAGAAATTGTGTTTTCTTGTAGTTTAAAGGCCTGACTGTACCCATCTGTACCTGGAATAGCTGTTGATAGCCTGGATAATTTAATAAAAAATAAAAGGTTAGTATAGAAGTCTATGGGAAAACATTTGTTGTTGTGTAACCTGTAAAGACCATTAACTCCCCTTCTTACCGATCTTAACTTGCCTATGTGGATGGCTGGTCCAGATATGTCTATCGCTATGGCAACCCTTTTGGGGAGTTTCTTGTTCGCAAGGCTTTCGGCTTCTCGTATTTTGTCAACTGTATCCCGGTGTTGCTTAAAAAAACAAGATGTCAGTAAAACCCTCCAATAAATTCTTTTTAAACATTCATTGAATAACATTTTCATCCTCAAGACTGCAGCACATTGATATCCATACAGAATATGTAGACAATGGATTTAATATTTTGAGCATTGTAATAACATGCAGGAAAAATAACATACCCCACAATATAATGCAAGCAAAATAACATAACACACACCAACATGCATGCAAAATAACATAACACACACTAACATGTATGCAAAATAACATAATAACACACAATAGCATGCAAGCAAAATTGTCAAACACACAATAGCATCCAGGAAAAATAATATAACACACATTAACATGCAAGCAAAATAATATAATAACACAATAACATGCAAGCAAAATAGCCTAACACACAATAGCATGCAAGCAAATAACATAATAACACACAATAACATGCAAGCAAAATAGCATAATAATGGACAATAACATGCAAGCAAAATAATATAACACACAATAACATGCATGCACAATAACATAATAACACACAATAACATGCAAAGCAAAATAACATAACACACAATAACATGTATGCAAAATAACGTAATAACACACAATAACATGCATGCAAAAACATAACACAATAACATGCATGCAAAATAACATAACACAATAACATGCAAGCAAAATAACATAACACACAATAACATGTATGCAAAATAACATAACACACAATAGCATGCAAGCAAAATAACATAATAACAGACAATAACATGCAAGCAAAATAAAATAATAACACAATAACATGTAAGCACATTTGACACCACTTTTATCAATTATTTCAAGCTGTAAATATTTGAGTGTATCCAGTCATTTCTTGTATAGTAGTATACAAATAAGACAACAGTACGTATAGTATTGATGACAACATTGAGTAGCTTCATTTGATGGAATGCAACTGAGTAAACTGACTGGGGATCAAAAGGGTTTTTTACAAATTGAGGGACAGGCTTCATGTTTGAAAACTGCACACATAATGCAAAGAGTACCTTATCGATTGGACCAGAGACCATATAATCTATTATATGGTCTCTGATTGGACATACTGGCAATTAATAATTGTTGTAATGTCCAGATTGACGAAGTTTACAAATTATTCAAACAACTGATCCATAGCTAACACCTAATGTTCATGGTCAAGAGGCACAACTGTCATCCTTGTGCTTGACCTTCCAGAAGCACAACTGTCATCCTTGTCCTTGACCTTCCAGAAGCACAACTGTCATCCTTGTGCTTGACCTTCCAGAAGCACAACTGTCATCCTTGTGCTTGACCTTCCAGAAGCACAACTGTCATCCTTGTCCTTGACCTTCCAGAAGCACAACTGTCATCCTTGTCCTTGACCTTCCAGAAGCACAACTGTCATCCTTGTGCTTGACCTTCCAGAGGCACATATCTTTTTAAGCCATGTTTGTTAACTGAGTTGAAATGTTGAAAACTTTTACAGGCAAGCATGCACTAATTAAACCAAATTACCTCCCTTGTAACTTACTTGTTGGGACCCATGTGCCATGTTAATACAGCAGATGTTTACTCCTTTCTCAATCAGCTGTTGAAGAATGTCAACCGAATCACATGATGGACCTATAAAGGAAAATAAATAAACATTTTTACGCAAAGACTTGTAACAAGTATGGTACACCACAGGCCCTCGTGTCTTTGCGAGGATTGAAGATGTTAAAAGAATATAAACCATTTGAGATGACCCCCGACTGGAATTGCTACATCAGCACAATACATTATGACAAGGACAGACACTTCAGTGTACCCCACCCGCCTGCTTTTGCCGATTGCTCATCACGCAGTGGGCTTGCTTCACCACACCCCTGTTTTGTGCGGACACATCGTTATTCATTTGTGTCAAGATCGTTTAGTTGGGGGTCAAAATCGGGTTTCTATCGACTTGCAGAAATAACAATAAAGAATTGGTAGGTGTCATGAGTGGTGATCGATAGGCCAATCATCCATGATTATGTTTACATTAAGTTTTAATCGATTGCATGCAATGGTAGTGTAGCGATCGACAAAGCAGGCGGGTTGGGTGCACAGAAGTGTCCGTCCTTGCCATAATGTATTGTGCTGCGTAGCATTTCGAGTCGGGGGTCATGTAAAAACATTTTTAATTTTTTAAATATTTAATCTTCGCAAAGACACGAGGTCCTGTGCCCTACACCTCTTCCACTTTTAACATCAGGTGACAATTTGTCCATGTATTGTGCAGGTAAAATAATTTGTTGATTTGGTTTCTAAAGTTAAATTTATAAGTTTACATAACTTGTTTATGATTTTGCAGGCAGACTTTCTTTTCTTCCTAAGTCCACTAAAGTTGCATATGGCCAAGGGGAACATCCAAATGTTAAAATCCTCTCCTTGTGTAAAGTAATGGTGGTAAGATTCAAACAACAAAATGAAAATATCCGATACCTTAGGCAGTATTTCCAACCCCTGGATTACATGAACATAATTAAACATTTCAAATAGTTGACAGGTGGACTTCTTTTTCTTTCAATTGTTTGGGGCGGTCGGATAGGCTAGTGATTAAAGCTACAGCTCATCACTTACAAACACCTGGATTTGATTCCCCACACGGGTTCAATGTGTGAAACCCATTTCTGTTGTCCCCACCATTATATTGCTGGAATATTGCCTAAAGTGGCATAAAACTAAACTCACTCACTCACTTTCAAGTGTTTGAATAGCAAAATATCAACATAAGTGCATTATTCCAACAATTATGCTAAGTGTGTTCCGCCATTGTTAAGTTGATGATAACAGTAAGGTTTATAGAACCATGGTACATTTCTTATGTAATGCAATGAATATTTTGACAGAGAGACTGGTGAAAAGTTGCCAGGACCAGTACTTTTCAAGAATGGGGTTTCAAATGTTTGTTTGGTGCTTAACACTGCACACAGCAACATTTCAACCATATGACAGCAATCTGTTAATATTCGAGTTTCCACCAAACAAACCTGTGACTAACATTATGAGCAACAACCTACGCCATGGTATGTTGACACGCTTATCAGCAGCGCTTAAAATTCCACCTGCCCGACTCTCCGAACGGTCTATTTTCATCTCGGATGGTTAAACACTGCTATCAGTCAAGGCACTGAAGCTAACCACCCAACTCTTAGCCTTGGAGTTCAAGATGGTACAGCACTACTTGCAAACTTATGAAGCCCATTTCTGGTGTCCCCGCCATGATATTGCTGGAATATTGCTAAAAGCGGCGTAAAACCATACTCAATCAATCCAAACTTGCAAACTGTCAAGGGGAGATTACTCTAGTTGTTTTTGATTATGTTGTTGTTGGTTTGTTGTTTAACGCCGCACTCAGCAATATTCCAGCTATATGGAGGCAGTCGAGCAAATAATCGAGTATGGACCAGACAATCTAGTGATCAACATCATGAGCATCGATCTACGCAGTTGGGATACAATGACATGTGACCACCCGATCCCGTTGGTCGCCTCTTACAACAAGCATGGGTTACTGAACACCAATTCTAACCCAGGTCTTCACAGGTCTTTTGATTATGTGATGGAGGTGTTCACTTAGAGTTACTGCCAAGATCTGATTGTAACAAGCTTGGCACCAAAGAGTCTCCTCCTACCGATGCAGCAGATGACACTGGTTCTCTTCAGGGCGTGGCAGTCTGCATCTATGTCTAGCTGACACATATGCTGAAGTCGACTCCCCGACATCTTGTATGATCCTGAAACAGGAAATTGGGATTAATGTTGATTAGAACACCACACGCATGCATGCATGCCCGCACACAGACAGATGCACAGACACAAAGAAAGATAGAGACAGTCAGACAGAGAGACAGACAGACGGACAGACAGAGACAGAGACAGACACACAGAGAGACACAGAGACAGAGACAGACAGACAGACACAGAGAGACAGACTGACAGACAGAGACAGAGATAGACAGGCACAGAGACAGACAGACAGAGACAGACAGAGACAGACACAGACAGACAGAGACAGAAAGAAACACAGAGAAAGACAGGCAGACAGACAGGCAGACAGACAGAAACACAGAGACAAACAGAGACAGACAGACAGACAGAGATAGACAGAGACAAACACAGAGCCAGAGAGAGACAGACAGAGGCAGAAAGACAGACAGACAGACAGACAGAGAGAGACAGAGACAGACACAGAGACAGACAGAGACAGACAGGCAGAGACAGATACAGTGACAGAGAGACAGACAGACAGAGACAGAAAGAGAAACAGACAGACAGAGACAGGTAGACAGAGACACACACACACAGATTTTCCTCTGCCCTTCTAATGCAATAAATCCATTCCAGTTGTTTTCAGGTGTTTTCATAGATTTCCATTTTTCATATTTTTGGTTTGTATTTGCTGTTTTCCTGACTGCCTACTATTAGTACATATTTTTGTTATCAAATTAATGAATTTGCTAATACATGTTATCTGCTTAGCTACATGAGTATTTTAAAACAAATTTCACATGTTGGTAAATATCAAATTAACAGTAAAAGGTTCTTTTACCCTGAGGTTTACACATGCTATCACATGATGTTGCTATATCAGTGTCAGGTAACACAGGAAAAGCAAATTTTATGCATGTTCTCAGAAATAGCCACAAGGGAAGTCCATATGTAGTGGGCAGGGGTGGAAATAACAAATTGGTTAGTGTACTACCCTGTGGCACATATAAACTCACTTGCCCTGATGATTTTGTTATACCGGCCGTTTTCTTGCTGATTTTTAAATAAATAACATAATTAACATTGGAAAGTCAACTGGACATTGGTACAGCGTGAGAGGTTCCGACTGGAAGAAACAAGGGACGTCCAGGCAATGGCTTATTTCCACCCTGGTGAGGCAGCTGAGATCAAGTTTCCATATGAATTGTGCATTTGATGATAAAAGCACCAAAATTGGTCATCATATATAAAAGAACATGTCTGAAATAAAGTCAGATGTGGAGGCACCTCAAATTTTGTATGTGTGCGCATGCACAGTACATAAACTATGACATAACACTTTCAGCATATCCCCAAAAAGAATCACTATGGCCATTGATTACACACCTATAATTTTATAAATATTGATTTACAGGTACATGCAAAGACACAAAAATACATAATTTTAAAATAATGGAAAACAATGAACACTCCCTCTTTAAAAAATGGCAGATGTTATATTGGACGCACATGTTTCCACTTTGGTGAACCCACAAGCATAGACGTGTGTTGTGACAACCTTGAGACATGTCATAAGTTCCTGGCATGCCCAAGGGACATAACTCTACATAGGAATTACAACGCTATAGTCAAATTAGCCATCCAGCCCCCTAGAAATTAACAGTAAAACTGCCATAGCTGTTCTTGGCACAGCTGCTTCAGGTATGTACAGAGGTATCAGGGTTTTACGCGATTCGTAAATGTTCGTCCAATACGCACAAATGTAGAGATTGGACTCACAAAAACAATTCACTGCGTTCTGAGGGACACACAAATTGTATTCATTGTACCCACAACACATCTGTGACGTTGCTAAGTGTTTGGTTGTTTCTTTCTGGGCAGTTACGTGCATCATGTCACCCATCACTCCACATGATCTATGATTCATTCCATGTTCTCAAGAAATTTTCAGAAGGTACAGTTCTCTACACTGTTATGTGGGGGTGGGCATTGCAGAGGATTTTCATATTGCCATATATTGCGATGCGGAAGCATATATTGCGATATGTATTGCAATATATTGCAAGGAATATTTTTTTAACAAAAACTACTTATAATCGAGTTAATGCTTGATTATAAAGCAAAAACACAACAAAATCATTATGATTGATTAACCTTTTATAAAAACTTTTAATCATGACAAAATAAAAATGTAAGTAACATTTGGCACTAATGAATCAGGGAAAAGAACAATTAAAAATGGAAATATCAAAGATTTCAGTGTTCAGAAGGAATGCATGTCAAAATCGGTTTTCAATCAATGTCATAATGCATTATCGTTTTCATGTCTGAACCGGTAAATACCGGTAAACTGGTTATATTGCGCAGCCCTACTGTTACGTCACTGGACCTTCATTTTGCCATCAAGGACTATTAAGACTTAGAATTGGCAGACTCTGGGTCACCCACGTTTGTAAGTTGAGGTAAAGCCCTGGGTATGTTTCAGTGTACAGGATTGGACCCTAGCAAATATACCTAACTGCTATTTCAAAAATGAATGATTGTGAAATTATATTTATAAACTTACCACTGAAGACATGCGACACACTGTTCATGCTATTCCATCCAGCCATTGTATCTCGGCCATAACTGTTTGTTCAATTCTACTTGATGCAACATATGTTCCTTGCGATATGATGAACCAACAAAAGAATGCTTATACCATTCCATTTTAAACATTTATCCTTTATACAATTATATCTGCATCATCTGAGTACCGTATTTCCTTGCACCAGAGCGCTTTTTCAACAGATTTCCTGACCTGGCGCTTATTAGAGGCCGGTGGTTACTGCGCTTACTGGGTTTATCGTAATTTAGTGTTTGTGAGCGTTACATCAAGGTTATGGACCATTCCTTAATAAATCTATTTTTGGATCAAGGGAGATTACATTTATAAAAAACGTACCCAACGCTTATTAGAGGCCCGGCGCTTACTGTGTTTACTGGGTGTATCGTAGTTTAGTGTTTGTGAGCGTTATATCAAAGTTATGGACCATTCCTTAATGAATCTATTTTTGGATCAAGGGAGAATACATTTATAAAATGTACCCAACGCTTAGTAGAGGCCCGGCACTTACTGTGTTTACTGGGTGTATCGTAATTTAGTGTTTGTGAGCCTTACGTGAAAGTTATGGACCATTCCTTAATATATCTATTTTTGGATCAAGGGAGAATACATTTATAAAAATCGTACCCAACGCTTAGTAGAGGCCCGGCGCTTACTGCACTTACTGGGTGTATCGTAATTTAGCGTTTGGGAGCGTTACATCAAAGTTATGGACCATTCCTTAATGATTCTATTTTTGGATAAAGGGAGAATACATTTATAAAAAACGTACCCAATGCTTATTAGAGACCTGGCACTCTTTTTTACCCCTGGCTCTTATTAGAGGACCAGTATGTATTAGAGATCAGGTGCTTAATAGAGTAAATACGGTATCTCTTGTTCCTTGAAAACAATACCAAATGTGCCAGGAAATCATTGTTGTGGAAACATATATTTTGCAGTTTTGCTAATGTATATTAATCAAATATTGCAGTTCAGATGTGTCACATTATATTCCTGATTCTAGAGGTACCACATGCAAATTACAATTATGCGATTTATGACAATATAAGCATTTATATCAGTTTGTAGGCATGCTACAAAATGTGTATGTGGTGTGTTGATTATCTGGGTCAATGTTAGCTTGTTTGTTTAGTTGGTGACTGTTAATTGGTATTATTGTATTATTGTTCAGTCTAGTGGTAGCCTAGTGGTTAAAGCGTTTGCTCATCACACCAAAGATCTGGGTTTGATTCTTCACATCGGTACAATATGTGAAGCCCATTTCTGGTGTCCCCCGCTGTGATATTGCTGGAATATTGCCAACCAAACTCACTCACTAATTCACTTTATAGGTTAACTCCAGATGCTTAAAATAGACAACATTTTTTATTTCAAATCAGGAACTGAAATGCAGATAATTTAGGTGTGTCTCTGTGAAAATGAGCAAGCCCATACCTTTTTATGATTCAGTTAAACTTAAAACATCACAACACTCATGTTATTTCAATTTACTGTTTAAGAAATCTGTTAGTGAGAGAGTGAGTTAATATTTATTGTCACATCGGCAAAATTTCAGCCATATAGTGATGAGAACAATAAATAATTATATTAGAGATCAATAAAATTAGAAAATACATGCACTTTGACGAAGAACAGTAAAACTACAAGTGTATCACAGATATCCATTTAAAACTAGTAATTAAATCGAAAACATTTTAACCAGAAATGACAAGACAATGTAAAACCAGGCTATAGATTGCCAACAACTGGAGGTAGATCACCATACTAGGAACCATGGGGGCTTACAGTACATTTGCAGTGCATGGGCCCTAGATGGATATACACCATCCCTTCAGCCGTTAACAATTTAGACAAATCTACATTTAAAAAGACACATATTCTACGATTACAAATAGTGGAGAGTTTGAATTTACTTTGAATGTTTGTGGACTTACATACCCTTTCAGAAGAAATATGTTAAAATCATGTAAACCTGTCAACTTGAGAGCTGGATTTCCTGAACACTATCAAGACTGCAAGAAAAGTTCAACTTCATTTATCCCGGACCTATAAACCTACCCACAAACAATGCTATCATCCAAAACGGGACTTCCTGTTATGTGCACTGGTATTCAAAATTGCCACACCCATGTATAGCTGTGAGAAGGAGAGTGCCGCCAATAGATAGTTTGATTGGGTGCAAAATCATGGATGCTAAATCATTTCCTTTGGTCAAATCTATCGTATTTTCCATTAAATGAATCGTTACGAGTGTTATTTTAACAATTTTAGCCATGCCGCCAGGGCACAAAGAAAATATTCCATCCATGCCATCTTAATAGTTACCGTGCCATGGTACGCAAATTAAGCATTAATTCAATCTCCTAAAATATAACTATGTGAAACCAACATTTGTAAGAATAGCTTTAAAGAAAATCA